CCCCCCACCCCCCACGCTGCTTTGTCGTCCCTTCCCCTTCCAAACTAATAATGTGCTCTTCCGCTTTCCTCTTTCAGATCCAAAGTGCTGATTGCAATGTGAGGCCTTCGGTTATGCTTTATGTCACTCACACAATAAAAGGGGATGCGATTGCACTATGGAATTACGTTAAATACTCACTGAATCGTTATACGAATGGTCTTTTGTTCGAGATAAACAATGGAATGCCTGGGAGTTTAATGTATTTACATATGCTGGTGAATTACTCTTTACACTACGCATTAAGCTAATCCTAAACCGCCTGACCTTTGCTAAGGTCATTAATGCTACAATTCAATTAAATTAATACAATAGCTTTACCAAGTCCTTTGTGTTGCTTGTAGAGGAATAATGTACTCAATTGTATTACGTGGATTTTAAAAACCGAAAGCTGCTGAATTGCACACAAAAGTCATATATGTTTGAGTCTTTTCCTATGACTCCTTATCTTCCAACTGCTTATTAAGAGGCGTGGGGGGGGGGGGTCTGAGGCATCGTAGAGCAGTGGTCCCGGTCCCCCGCGACCCCCAGAGGGCCCACATTTTCGAACTCTGTCTGAGGCAGCTGGGAGGGAGCAGCAACCCCAAGGACCAGGTTAGGAGACACGGCCATGGATGGATACCCTGCATGGTGTGCCAGTCTGTTGGCGGGCATACCCACTACGGGCAATTTATAGAGCCGAAATCAGGGGTCACCAACCTTTTTGAAACTGGGAGCTACTTCATGGGTACTGAGCCATACGAAGGGCTACCAGTTTGATACACTCTTCTTAAATAACAGAATTGCTCAGTTCACCTTTAGTTATATATTACTATTAATGATTAATGATACTATATAAATGCAAATATGATTAAAGAAGAATAGCAACAGGATAAAATTAAATTTTAGACGCTGCTCACTGGTGAGTTGTGCTATATTTAGAACAGGTCCGCGGGCGACTCGTGTGGTCCTTGGGGGCGTCCTGGTGCCCACGGGCACCATGTTGGTGACCCCTGCCCTAAATCAACTGACTGCAGGGAGAGACTCATGCAGACTCGACACACATTGCAGTGGTACAATTCAAATACAAGGTGTGTGTGTGTGTGTGGGCGGGGTTACCTATCCTTATGGAGACACAATGTCCCCATAACGTGATAAATATCCATTTTTTTTCCCTTATGGGGACTGGTTTCCTGGTCCCCATAAGGGAAAACTCTATTTTATAAAAATCGGTGACTGCTATGAAAAAACTCAAAATGCAAAAACTCTTGTATTTTGTTAGGTTACTTATGGTTATGGTTATGGTTAGGGCAGGGTGGGGGTTAAGGTTGTCATAGTTAGCGTTAGCATTTTTCCCATTGAAATGAATGAGCGGTCCCCATAAGGATATGTTTACCCTACATGTGTGTGTGTGCGTGTGTGTGTGTGTGTGCGTGTGTAGCTCAGCACATTAGCCTGCTATTCCCATGAGCTGAAGGCTGGTGATTGAAATCCCAAGGCTAGCAGAGAGATCTTACCGTTGGGCCGTTGAGCAAGGCCCATAACCCCCAGTCGCTTCAAGGACCGTCTGACCCTGTCCTGTCAATTGTACGTCGCTTTGGATAAAAGTCTCAGCTACATATGTCAAAATGTGATGCGAAGTAACCCTGAAGTAGGCAGTTGATCTACTCAATAAGCTACCGCGCTACTATTTCATATATTCATGTGCGTCTTAACCTCAGATGTGAGGACTTTCTGTGTTTTTTCTTATTAACAACAATTTAGAAGGGTGTGCAGAAGAAATTTCCAAAAAAAGTTTTCCCAAATCGGACATAGTTGAGTGTCTGTGCATCTAAACACTATTAAACTACCTCAAGTTAAGTACTTTAACTTATTTTACTTGGTGAACTGCAAAGGCGTTTTGTACTTAATAAAACAAGACAATACAATTTAACATACTAAGTGTAGCTTTAACGTCATGACGATCACAACAGTCTGACTCCAGCGCAAGTTCATAGCTCTGATTTGCTTGGACCTACCTCCTCTACAGTTTGATTGGTTATCTCTCTGAAGCAATCATTGTTCCTTCTGCCCTCAGAACATTTTTGTGAAAGTAAAACTGAGCTAATTTTAAGCCAACAGGAACCTCCTTATATTGCTGAATGGACGGTGATGGAAGGGAAATGACAAAGGAAATGACAGCCAATCGACTGCACCCCACAATTCTTGTACTTTCAGTGCATTTTTATGTCCATCTTTTTTGAGTTTTTTTATTGACAATCACATACTGGAATATAGCTTAGTACGGTTCCTCAAAATTGCGAGGTTTATATGCTTAAAATCCTTGGCATTGCTGAGATGTTCTAATGATAAACAAATGTCACCATAATAGCTCATTTTCCGTCATCCACATAATAAGCTGTCAAAATTTCACACCCTGTTTACAATTATTACAGTTGTTTGCATTGTGGTGGATATTAAACACTATAGGACTGCTTTGTAATTCAGTTAAAATTTGAAACCATAATTATTTTAACGTATTTTATGAGATATTACTTACTTTTTAATGCGTCATGCATATTTTTTTCTTTCTATTATTTTTAAGAGCCAGCAGTGTGAGCCAGAAAATAAGCCTTCCATCTGACCTCTATTAAATCCAAATTTTTGGCAGGCGGTTACCTCAGGCTATCGACAAGTGGCAGAAAGCATTTAAATCACCAGATCTGCGCTATTAAAATGCGCCATTTATGTAACGTGCGAGCACAGGCCTGACTTATAGATTAATAATGGGAGGACACCAAGGATATGGGAGACATTTAGCCTCAAAAATCAAGGTGCTCGGTGCTGGGAAATTGGAAGGATGGAACTTAGAATGAAAGGGAATGTGACAATGCAAAGAGAAGCAGCAATGAGCAGCAGACAATAGCCTTACAAACATAAATCTGCAGCAAGGATGCGATGGTTCCACACCCTGGCCTGCCTTCTCACGCAAGTAAAAAATTCAACTTCAAAGTCAAAAGTGGGGTTACAGTTCACTGGAAACAAACATACAGAACCCTTAATCATTCCTCACCTCTGTATCATTCTGATGTCATAATTATTGTTTTTGATTCATCATTTGTCATGACCTCACCGGCAGAGTGGCAGCGCATGACGCTACAAGAAAATCCAGTCTTATTCCTAACCCCCCCACGCCCCCACCCCCCCACCACGGGATGGACGTTCTCGTGATGCTAATGATTTCCAAAGGCTATCTGCAGCTGGCTCTGCAGAACAATGTCATAATCCCGTGACTCGACTTCACTGCTGTCTGCACTGTAAACAAGGCTTTCTACAAGGTGATCCTCAAAACACTTCTACCCGACATGGGTCAGTACTGCTACAGATCAGCTGGCAGTCAAAATGAGCCAAAACAAATCATTATCTAATTTCATATCATTACACTTTTCTGTCAGCTGCTTTACAAAAGAAAATAAGAATAATAATAATACTAATAAAATCCGAAGCCAAAATGTGCCCGTAGCCCAGCTCTCCATGTCTGTTTGGTGAGGCGGCATGTTTTTCAAACAGGCAAATGTTTATCGTTGCCCTGACAGAAGAGAAAGACAAATGTAAATTGTTTGACCAGTTGAAAGGTAAAAAGGATTTAATGAGATTTCATATATCGCCCCTTTGGAGAACAGACTCTCTGATTAACCAAGCGTTTCTTTGTTTTGATAAACACAAACTTAACAAGCTCTGGGTCGCAAGATGAACCCAAGGCAATGTGACTTGTAATTGACATACTAGGGAGGAAAAAAATTGTTTCACAGCACATCGCAAGTTCAGGGCTCTTCAAGGTTATTTATGAATTGCCAGGCGAAAACAGAATCATATGTTTCTAATTTATTTTTTAGTTTCGAGTTACAGCATAATAAAATAGTTATTTAAAAACAATTTTACTTAATTTTAAAGACCTTTAAAATGACAAATTTAAAAAGTAAAGTGGTGCCAAATATTTCTGTGACACGTTTAACAAATAAAACTCTTTGTGGAGCAATCGAAAGGACAACGCCCATTCCTGTGACATATGTGTATTGTGAAAAAGCTATTTGTTATGCAAAATGGGATTTTACCATTCAAGGAAGCCCCAGAACAATCAAGACAGTATGTTGAAACTGTCGTGCAATTATTCAATGTTTGCCGGAACAAAAAAGACCAGATGTGTGACTTCACTCTGCAGGTATTTCTGCGAAAGACCCCCNCCCCCCCGGTATACATAAGGATTATCAGATTTTGATTTATTTAAAAAGAAATATTTGCGGGATGAGTGAGAACTCAGCTGACCTGAAGAGTCAAAAGGAGCAGAAGAATGTCCTTCGTGTCGACTTGTGGTCCATTCTGAACACCACCATCTACCCTGCCTCAATTAACCTTGTGGCTGATCTTTTATTCCGTTTATTTTTTTAAAAGCAGCTCTAGCCGCAGATGTCTTTATTCCCGCACGCTGTGATGGATTCACACCTCAGCAGTTCGGGTGAGACAGGTCAGGTGGGTGTCCGTCTCTGTGAAGAAGCTGAGAAAATAAAGGCCTACCACGCTATTTTTAAACTTTTTTTTTTATGTCCGTTGTGCTTTGAAAACGCGGTCATTGTGCCACTGTATTGATCACTTTATACTGAGCGGAGAAAAGACTTTCCAGTTATGTAACCAGAATGCAAACAAATACACATAAAGCAATAAAGCAAGAGTCCTCCCAGCAGCTGTTAAATGTCAAAGTACTGGTGTGTTTATCCCAGGCAGCACTGGGCATAAGGCAGGAGTAACACACTCAATGGCACACCAGTTTGTCACACGGCATACAGTTACGTATATGCACACACAATTTAAAGGTGGGGGAATATAAGAGGGGCCAACTGCATCATTAGCCAATAATATGTCTTGAATTGGTGAGTGATAGGGGAGGGGACCAATC